GAAGATCCCGAAAAAGGGACCACGAGTGCTTTGCCCAAAAATTCCAATAAAACATACGAAAAATCTGAAAAGAGGGGACCGCAAGCACTCGGGTTGGCGCTAGGCTCAAATATAATATATTTGTACTCGAGGGACGTCGAAGACTACTATCGATCACCCGGATGTATAGAGTCCGTCACTCAACAAGGAGGGTGTCCTACTAAACTTAATTTAGGAGGGTACTCCTTAGCATGTATCGGTAATCAACAAGTGGACAACCAAGTTGTAACACATTTTAAAATTTATATTTTAGCATGCACATGGATTTCAGGCCTACAAAAAGGAAGTTGTATCAATTTTGTAATAAAAATATTTTTTATAAATATTGTATTTGTTCTTATCATGTATGTTCTTATCGGGTTTGATATTAATTCTAAAGGGTACATGTAATCAATGAGTTTTCCTACATACTATCATCCTACAGTTCATCAGGTCCCAAGATTTCGCCATTGGGCGTAGGACTGCCAACAACCAAAGAAGGTGCGGGTCCTCCGCTAGTCTTATGTCGGTGAATGATACTATCATCCTACAGTTCATCAGGTCCCAAGATTGGGTTATGATGTCGTAGGATAGAATATCATTCTGTTATATCACCGGCGTGCCTTTGTTATCATCGCTCTCAGCCCCAAAACAAAACCGACCTACTTGCGACCTTGCTTGATGGTTTCATATATAGCAAAAGTCTATATATGAGCACTTATGTGTCGGACATAAGCACTAAAAACCGAATCAATAAACAAGGAAAAAAAATAAAAATGGGGATGAGAGAGAGGAGGAATTGATTCACCCAAAAGATCGAGAGAATGAAGGTTGGAGCAACCCAGTGGAGCAACCCTCAAAACTGTGACGAAAAGACCTGAAAAAGAGAGTCTAAGATCCTTGAATCAATCTAAAGGATATCATTTTCTCAAATTTTATAATTGGATCAACCCAAGAAGAGTATCATTTCCACATTTTGTTTCAAACAAGTCGAAACGAGCACAAAATTAATGTGACAATTGTACCCACGACTCCAGCACCTATATGTACTCACACACCCAAGCCTGAACCCAAATGTGGCATTTATGTTATCCAAATTTTAATATCAAACTTCCAAAACTCTTTTATGAATGACAATTTGACAAGGTAAATTCTTTATGAATCTGATCTATATCATCTCATGTTTTCCAACATAAAGCTGTAGAGGCCTTCAAATTTCACAAATCAAGCAAATCCACTAACGACAACTTTCGAAATTCCCAAAATATCGGAGACACTAACTCCAACCAAAAGCTTTCCCTATAATATAAGCACGAAATCATCCAAATAAAACCAAATAAGTGCTCAAGGTCAGGGGCAACAGAGAGGGACAGCCAAGAGGGACGGTCAAGCCCCAAAATAAGCCCCACGGGTAGGGACAAGAAAGAGAACAACCCAACCCCAAAACAAGCTCACAATCAGAGGGACAGCAAAGGCAGCAGCCAACATCACTGCCTTAAGCTCACGGTTAGGGACAAGAAAGAGAACAACCCAGCCCAAAAAAAAAGCTCACGGCCAAAGGTAGCAGCCAACACCACCAAACCAGCTTCACAACAAGGGGTAAGCAGGGAACAACCAAACAAGACAAAAGAAAACTAGTTGGAATGCTTGCGGGTAAGGGTAGCAGCCCAAAGCCAAACAAGACAAAAGAAAACCAGTTGGAATGCTTGCGGGTAAGGGTAGCAGCCCAAAACCACCAAACCAACTTAACAGCAAAGGGGAAAGCAAGAAACAGCCAAACAGGACAAAAGGAAACCCAGCTGAGATGCTCACAGGTAAGGGCAGCAGACCAAAACCACTAAACCGGCTTCACAACAAAAGGGAAAGCCACCACAAATATTATCATTGTACTCCTTTGACCTACATAAGAGAGTGAATGGACAAACTCACATAAACTATCAAGATTAAAGTCATTTTATTGAGCAAGACATGATAGTGAATTGATCCGTTTATATCAAACATTCCCATATAGAAGTAGATATTAAAATCATGAATTTCGGGATGACAAACTTGCTTACCAATAAAAATATAAGGAGGAACATTATATGAAAAGCTTCCGACCAAACCGAGTCCAGCAAAGGGCTAAATCGAGCCCACCAAAGGGGCTAAAATGGAAAGGAATTCCAGCCAAAACACAATCCCAAAAGGAGTCAAAACCGAACCAACCAAATGGGGAAAATCAGTACAGAACCTTCAATATTTATCTGAGCAAGAATAACAAAAATAAAAAGCATCAATATTTCATTTTCCGCATGAATTCTAGAAGAGCAAATATCATTTCAGAGTTCATAACTGTCTTCCTAAGCATTTCGAGCAGAAAAGAAATACAAGCAATCATTTCCCCTAAAATTACTCTTGCTTTAACAATAAATTGATTCAACAGGGAGAAAAGAAAGAAGGCTACAGCTTTCAGCATACAAATATAAAAATAATAGAAGCGTAAGAAGAATATTTGTATATGACAATGGATCCAAACATGCTTTCCCTAAACTGCTATTTCAACTAATCAACATAGATCTTCTAAATCAGATCGAATAAAAGTATTAAAGGCCCAATACATGATATCAATGCCATTATGAAATACCAGCTAAGATAAAACAAGGCCTCATGTATACATTCCCTATTTTAACATCTCCAATAAGTGTCGAGCAGGGCAACAGAACAGAGAAGAGAAGGGATAAATACCTTGCTTGAGATTTCCTAAAAGAAAACAAAAGAAAGCCACCAAACATTGGCAGAGACCTCTCCTCCTAAAAGCTTCAAGAAACAGCAACCAACGAACGCTCCAGCACACAAGAACCTAGCCGAGAAGGAATTTCGACAGAGCCTTCCCCTAAGAGCCTTAAACAGCAGCTAGCAAAACAATCTCAGCACTCTCTTCTCTCAGAAGCTTTTCAACAACCCAAAACAGTACTTTAGGAAGCTTTTTTATAGGCAGAGATGAAGGGGGGAACCGCCACCTACCACCGTTTCGTGGTCGAATAGAACAGCAGGGATGGAATCGTCACAATAAAGAAGGAGAAATTAAAGCCTCGAGAAGAAGAAGGTTCGGCCAACCGAGCTCCCACGATTGGAGAGTCGAGAGGTCGAGCGGCCATGCAAGGAAGGAGAAGAGTCGAGAGAGAGAGAGATTGCCGCGTGGAGCGTGGATCGACCAAGGGAGCTTAGGGCACGAGAGGGACGAGTCGGACGGCGATCGAGCCACGGGATGGGCCAAATGGAGAGTTAAGTGTGCGGGAAAGGGGTAAATAGGATTTAGGGTTATAAATTTTATTATAAATAATAATATAAATATATAAAAATATTTAATATTTCAAAAATAAAAATTGATTTGTACCATTTTCATTTGTGCGTCAAAACATAACAAAATGGATGTCTTTTTTAGGTAATTCAGACATTACGGATGCGTTGACGTGGTATGTTTCGTCGTCGGAGGTCGTTTTGACGAATTCATTGATTTGCGTGCAATTTGCTTGTGTGCGGAATTATGACTGTGTGCGGAATTATGACAATATGCGGAATTATGACAATATGGGTGTCTTTCCTAGCTAAAATTGATGTCCCGGACGCGTTGGCGCGGTCCATTTTGTTGACGGAGGTCATTTGGAGAAGTTAGCATTTTCACCCATTCTTTAAGCTCGATTCTAGTTCGACTTTGCGCAACTTAGTGAATTTTGTGTATTTCGTGTGTGTGTGTGTGATGATAGTCCTGAAGAGATTTTTCCTAGGGCTTGAGATCCTATTGGGAACTTCTCCCTGAATCTTCATATGATAGTCCTTTATCACTCGACCATACGACGATGGTTTTGGAATAATCAATGCAAGACATCACAAGAGAAATAGGAAGTGTCTGGAATTTCTAAGAGAATGAATTTCAATACTAGTTTTTAAAGATAGTCAATAGGAACCCCTAAAGCTAGATCCTAGGATCCTAAGGAAAAGAGTAATGACATCAAAATAAGGTCAACACAGATCTAAGGAAACTCTTACGAGAACAGGAAAGAAGATGAGAAATATGTTTCATACCCTTTTTGTGAATAGATCACGAGAAGAGGAAGAGAAGATGAGGAAAGGAGACGCACAGGAACGGTCACCGGCCAAAGACGAGGACGGGAAGGGACGAAGCTCGCAACCTCTCTGAAATCTTGCGTTCTAGGGCAAATGGGCAAGTGGGTAAAAAATGAGTTCGAAAAGCTGGGCAGCGGCTCTTACCTGGCTGCTCAGCTTTGGCTCGGTACCGCGGGAAGCGGCGGCGAAAAAAAATCCAACATATGCGAAGCGGTGCCGCGCCGCAAGGAAGCCGCCCAACCAAACGGGCCCTTCGACTGGATTGAGTAGGCTAAGGGGTTTCCAGGCTTCAATTCCCAACAACCACCAGACGTTTACTCCCAACTACCATCAGTGCTCAAGCTGGCTCTAAAACCACTTCTAGAGTAGAAGACAGTTTGCCACAAGCAGAAGAAACAAGAAAAGGTAAAGGATAGTATTCCTTCCAGTCATGTAAAACAGATTTTGTAAACAAATTTATAATTAAAAAAAAATTTAAAAAAATAATAATAAAACCTAAAAAATGGAAACCTTCGAGGAAACTATATGCTAGTACAAAAACTATTGTCACCATAATCACACAGCTAGGGAAAATAACCAAGGAAGGAACAAAAATAATAGAAAGAATATGAGACGAGAGGGAACAGTTGAGTCCAGCGCGTTGAGGGGTTCGGCTGCATCAACTTAACTATTAAGGTAAATTTGAATCCGATTGTAAATAAAATCTTTGAGGAATACCCCAAAAATACTGGACCAAGAAATGGGCGTGAAAGCTGTTTTTCCATTTAAAATCAACAGAAACGGATGATTGGTAAGAATCCAGAAATTGATATCCATTAATCTTTATTTCCGAGTAGAATAACAACATTTATCAGTTAGGAGGATCAAAGGCTGACCTTTAATAGGTTTCAATAAGCTGAAAGCAACAGTAAATCCTATCGCAACCTCAAGCACGAATGAATCTAAGTGCCTGCTTCATGTACTTGAGGGCTGAACGCAGCATGGCTCTAGCTTTCCTATCAGGTGTGATGCCGGACAAAATCATTTCTTCATAAACAGATGGAACCTGTTGTGCAAAGATAAAATTTAGTTCAGATTTGCTCAAACAAGATGAATAGGGATCAACATAAGAAAAAATATTCAGGCGCAAAAAAACAAATTGGAACTGTCATGACGTTTGTGCGATTTGTTGTCCTTTTGTCAACCCGAGATCCTTTATAAGCTCAAAATCAAAAAAAAAAAAAAAGAAAAAAAAAGGATCTTTACCTTGTCAAGCTTCTCGACACGAATGAGAGCTTTCATTAGAGTCGTATATGTTACAACATCAGGCTGTATATCCTGCAGAGATAGTGAACTTCTCTTTGTTAGGAAAACATGCATAAAGAAGTCAAGCATGTAGGCAAGAATACTGACATGCAGCTTCATAAATCGCAATACAGAGAAGGCATCAGCATCTCTTCTGTCTTCCCCAAATGCATTAATCAATGAGTTAAGAACTAAAAGACTAGGTTTGATACCATCCGCTCTCATGACTCTGAAAGCATGTATCGCCTTGTCGGACAAACCCTGTAGAAGGGCAGTATCTTATAAAATCATTACTATACAGACAAAAAAAAATTAAAAACAAGTTCAAGAAATAGTAAATTCAAGCACCTTCTGGGCATATGCATTCACCAGAGCATGATACATGGTTGACGGAGGTCTCATCCCTCCGGACTTCATCATCTCCAAACACTCGATGGCATCCTCAAACCTTCCGGATTTCCCATAAACATCAACAAGTGTAGTGTAGGTCACTACATTTGGCAGTAATCCCTCTTCCCTCATCTTTCCAAAGAGCTCCTTCATTTTCTCCCACCTCTCCTGCACACCCAACGAATTAATCACTATGTTATAGGTTGTTGTGCACGGCACCAACCCACTCATTTGCATTTCCTCAAACAGCTTCATGGCTTCGTCATGCCTACCAGCCTTTGAATGTGCATCAATAAGTGTGTTCCACGTGACAACGTCAGGCACGATGCCATCAGCCCTCATCTGATAAAAAGCATCCATGGCGTGATGAAGACAGTTATGCTTTCCAAAAGCATCTATCATCACATTGTAGAAATGACGATCTGGTTGGATGCCATTGTTCCTCATCTCTCTCAGCACAGCAAAAGACCTCTGCCACTCACCCTTATCCCGGAAACTCGCTAATATCCTACTAAACACGTAAGAATTAGGCAGGACATCATTCATCTCCATCTCCTTAATCAAGATCCTGGCGCTCTCCCACCGGCCAGCATTGGTGTAGGCATCAATCAAGAGGCTATAAGTGCACTCGTCAGGTGCCACGCTGCAGCGTTCCATTTCGTCAAGCAGCTGCTCTGCATCTTTAAGAGCGCCAGTTTTAACATAACCTTTGAGGAGAGCATTGTAAGCACGGGTGCGGGGTTGAAGGCCCCAGTGGCGGAGCTCTGCGAATATGGCCTCTGCCTCATCAACGCGGCCAGAGTTGCCGAGCACGGATATAAGCTCGACAGCAGCAGAAGATTTGGGGGTGATCCCCTGAGCCTGTGTTTGGGCGAGTAAGGAAAGGGCAGTGTCAGGGTCGGCAGCGCGGGAGAAGGCCACTATGAGATCAGAGAGGAGGCGGGCGTCGGGCTCGAGGCGGATGGAACGGATGTCAGAGGAGAGGAGAAAAAGGAGGGAGGGGTCGGGAGGGTCAGTAGAATGGAGGAGCGATTGGAGAATGAGAGTGTAGTTCTGCTGGTCAGGTAAGAGGCCGCGGCGGCGCATGAGAGCAAGGAGGCGAAGAGCAAGGTCGGGGCGAGAGTTCATGGCGGAGGCGGATATGAGGGCGTTCAGAGAGAGAGGAGAAAGCGAAGAAGAAGATGAGAGGGAGAGAGCAAGTTGGAGGCGGCGGTGGCGACCCAGGGAATGTATGAGGATAGAATAAAGGAGATCGGAGGAGAAACAGAGGCGGTGGCGGAGAAGCCATGGAACAAGTGCGGTGGCAGTGGAGAGAGAAGCTGGTTCGGAGGCGAGAGATTTGAGAAGGGAATGCCACAGAACAGCAGGGACGGAACGGTAGGACTCTGCAAGGCAGAGCTCCTCAGGGGAGAGCTCCATCAGAGGCGATGCATCTGGTTCAGCTTCCTCGGTTATGGATGTAGAGGAGGAAAGGAAGTCTATAAGAGGGGTGAAGTCAAAACGGCGAGAGTCTACGGAGTACATGGGGTCCCCGGTGGCAGTGGAAAGGGCGGCGATTGCGAGAGAGGAGGAGGAAGGAACGACGAAGTAATGGCGAGGGAGGGGAAATAGAAGACGGTTAAGGGAACCTTATCCTCCCATCTCGTACCATCTGGTGGAAAATCTATGATTATTTTATGTTTAACAAAATAATTTCATTGATATCACTCAGGGGCTGTCTCCTAATATTAAGATTTAATCAATTTTGAAAATCCAATTTTTTTAAATTTTGAATGGATTAAAGCTATCGATTTACTTAGACGATTTACTTAATCTCATAAATTTAATGTAACTGTTTCATAATTTAAGCGAGGATTTTGGAAGTAGTTATGATTGGTGGAGATAATCGGAAGTCCGCAAACTTAAATCCCAAACTCAACGAAGTTCAATCCATCGATTCGTAGGATTAAGAATTTACGGGATTTAGAGCCGAAATCTGCGGATTTGGATTTACGGAATCGCGGGATATATTTTGCTCAAATTGACCGTCTAGTGGGATTTGGCTTAAATATTGTGTAATTCCGGTGAAAATCTATTGTCAAACAGCCTTTTAGAAGTTAAATTATTGTGAGGAAACAACTATAAAATTTATCATATATTAATTTCATAAAACTGAAATTAACATATTTTCTACAAATCAACCATAAGGGCTTGTTTGAGCATGTGTTTGATCTCTGTTTTGTTATAGATATAGTTACGAGAGCGTTGATATATCGTTTGACGGATAAATTTCATTGAAATCATGTCTATTGCAATTTTCTTATCTGCAATTTTGAGATCGCGCCTCCTCACCTCTGTTCCATCGTTCAGATGGCATTCTAATCTCTTCTTTCATCTGAATCGAGACAATAGCCACCACCTTTTCTACAAGCCCTGCGACTCTCCCATCTCTTTTATCCAAACCTACTCATGTGGGTTCCCACCATTGCAATTATTCCTATATTTGAACCCACTGTCGGTGATCTATCGTACCGACGAGCAGCACTCACTTGCTCTTTGACCTTCTCACGCATCTTCTCATTGTTCATTGGAATCCAACTGTCAACATCCTGAACCATGCTCAACTCTCACCTCTTGCAGGCAGAAATCCCACACAGAATCACCTTCATCTCTCTGATCCAATGTCGGCGATTCTCTGGTTGAACCAGCAACAACACACTAGGCTCCCCAACATGCTCTCCCACCTACGCAATTCTCCCACAGGCCAACAAGTTTACCTCTACTACAATCTCCCCAAACAACCTTTTGTCTTTTCCTTGCGCTAGTACCACAATACCTCTAATGTATATGAATTCTCACTTCCAGGACGTTGTAATCATCCATCCAATTGTTGCATTCCTCAAACTTCAATAACACTGTTGAGGTAATCATAAGAGAAATAAAATTTATAGTTTTGTAGAACCAAGAGTTTTCACTATTAAAGTTAAGAAATGCACATAAAATTTTTGTAATCAAACAATCATTGTATTTTGCTCTCATAACTTTATATAGCCGCATTTTTCAATTGTGGCTTCTTAAAGAATTTTTCCTAAAGGTGAAGCTCCATCAAACAAGGCCTAACTTTGCCTAGCCAACATTAAGTTTGGTTTATGCGTGAGAACCATGCCCAACTTTTAATTGAATTATAAGAAAATTATATAAGTCGCCATAAAGGAAAACAAAGAAGAAGTTATATTAAATTAAAAAAAACAAGAAATAGTATCAGAAACGTGGAGCCTAAAAGGACAAAAAAGCTCAGAATAATCCATGCATGAGAGATTAAGGCCCTGTACGAGGCACCATTTTGGGTGCTTATCAGTTTAAGAACACGCAAATGACCATTTGGGAGGCTTCTTTCTTGGTGTTTTTAGGCACCAAGCGCCTGCGAAACAAGCAGAATGGCATCTCTACTCCTCTTCAAAAGGACAAAACAGCTCAAAATATCACCAGGAATGCATCCTCTTCACCCGGTGCAAAATCACATTGCTACCCCTCTACAATACCCTAAATCCCTCCCTCTATCCCGAAAAATGCCCTTCTTCACCATCTCTCTCCACTCTCTATTGTTGTGGCTTTAGGGAAAAATCTTGGCTCTTCTTTTCCCCTCAGTTCGTTCTTGCTATCACCAACTCTCACCGGCCCTCTCTATATATAAAACTCCTCTTCTTCTATTTGTTCTTTGTGATGGTGGTTTGATGGTTTGTGTTTTACCATCTTTCCCTTTGTATTTCTTGGTTTAGCTGTTGATGGTTTGGTGCTTTAGTGGTTGAGGTGGTATGTTCTTTTCCGTTATTGTTTAAGATAGTTTGGTGCTTGAGGTGGTGCCAATAGATTTTTTATTTTGCTCTCTAGTGGTGGTGTTTGTCTCTGTTATGAGATTTTCAGTTTTGTTCTTTACCTATAATTTTTTTTCAATTTTGAGATAGTTTGGTGCTTTAGGTGGTGTCGATAGATTTTCCTCTCTATCATGTGGTGGTGTTTGTCTCTTGAAATTGATGGGTTTGTGGCTTTTAGGGTGGTGTTGATCAGTTTTACTCTCTGCTATGTGGTTGTTGTTGACTTTGTTATGTGATGATGCTTGAGAAATATAACTACTATTAGTTATTTTAAAAAATATAACTAAAATATTATTTTGAGTCGATATAAATATCAAATTTTTTATGTTAGATATGTAATTTCATTTCACTTTTATCTTCTTCAATCTGGAAAATATTTTATGGCGAGAAATATGAGAACTATTACTTCTTTTGAAAATATAACCATGAAAAATTATGTTGAACTGACGTCAATATTAAAGTTTAAATGTTATACTAGTAATTTCATTTCACTTCATCTTCTTCGATCTAGAAAAGTATTTTATGGAGAGAATTACAATCACTGTTTGTTCTTTTTAAAAAAAATTTTAAGAACCAAAGCACCATTAAACATCTAAGAACCAAGCACCATCAAAAAGAAATATGACAATTGTTGATCCTTTTAAAAATTGAAGTTTAGGTGTTTTATGTGTGAATACATAGAAATTGAGTGGCATGTACGTAAGTCCATATCATCTCTTTTAGTCTAGAGATTATATGTGCAAGTCTAATTTATCTCTTTTATGTCAAAAATTCAATATAAATTGAAGATCATGCATCATTTCTCAGTTGTCATGTATTTACATTTCAAACACTTAAACTTTGATTTTGGGATTTGAAATTTTTGTTTGTTATAATTTATAAACCAGATGAAGAATAGGAAGTCAAATGAAAGTACTTAACTAACATATAAACTCTTATATTCACATTGGCTCAAAATAATTTTTCATGGATGTATTTTTATAAGAACTAACAGTAGTCATATTTCTTTTTCATGGTGCTTTGGTCCTTCGATATTTATTTCAAAATAACTAACAAAGGTGGTATTTTTTTTTATGATGTTTTGGTTCTTAGATTTTTTATATTTATTTATATATGATTCATGTAATGGTATTTTGATTCTTAGATATTTTTTTAAAAGAACCATCAGTGGTAATATTTCTTATTGATAGTGCTCTGGTTCATAGATGTTTGATAAACAGTTATGTATGAATCATTTGATGGTGCTTTAATTCTTAGAATTCTTTTTTTCAAAAGAACCAACAAAGGTCGTATTTCTAATTGATGATGCTTTGGTTCTTAGATTTTTTATGTGTATTTATATATGATTTATGTGATGGTACTTTGGTTCTTACATATTTTTCAAAAGAACCAATAGTGATCATATTTCTATCTATAAATACTTTTCCAAGTTGAACAAGAGGAAGTTGAATGAAATTACTGATCTAATAGCTAAACTTATACTTGTGCATAAATCAGTGGTAAAAATTAAAGTTTTGATATTTTATATGTATTGATATATAAATTATGTGATGGTGCATTAGTTCTTATTATTTATATGGTGGTGGTGGTTTGATGCTTGTCTCTTGAAATTGATGGGGTTGTGTACTTAACCTTTGCATTGATCGGTTTTGAAGTTTGCGGTTGTGACACATTTTATTTTTGAAATGTTATGCAGAGCAATGATGGAAAATAAAATAAAAGGGCTCAACTAATCACCAATTATCACTTTTATAATTATTCCTATATATTTATCACGAATACTACCTGGTCATAGATCACACATGCAACTGTTTTCCACATATACTATCTGGTCTTATATTACATATGTCATTATTTGTCATATATACTATCATAGATCACACCAGGCATTTATTTTTACACATACTACCTTGTCTTTAATCACACAAGGCATTGATTTTTTTTACACATACTACCTGGTCTTAGATCAGACACACCACTATTTTCCACAAATACTTCCTGTTTGATTACACATGTCATTGTTTAACATAAATATTACCTGGCCTTAGATCACATATGCCACTTTTCTTCACATATACTACTTGGTATTAGATCACACATGCCACTGTTAATCTTGAATACTACCTAGTCTTAAAGCCCACATGATACAATTAGTGATCTAGGATGGAGCCATCTTTATAAATTGATATCACTGAGCTCTAATTTGAAAATCTTGTTTTTTATCAAATTTTATTTTAGTTTTTATAATTGTTTTTCTAATTGCTAAATAATATTTCTTCGTCCTAATGCTTTAACTACATGATACATTAAACGAGCAAACAAAAGGAAGGTAGAATATCTATCATTTGAGATAGAGATACAAAGATCACTTTTTGTGATTTATGTTTGAGAGAGAGAGGAATTAAAAATAAACCAACCACACACTTCAACAAGAAAGATTGACAAAACATCACAAAAACTTTCATGAAAAAATAGGTAGATTATATGACAAACTATGTTGAAAACAAATCAAATCAACTGGAAAAAGATTAAAAATTGTGGAAGGAGCTGAAAAGAGAGGTTGTTGGATTAAGTTAGGATTCTGTTAAGAAAACAATGGATGCATTAGAAGAGTGTTGGGGAAAAAATAGTAAGTAGAAAATGTTTTATCGAAATACAATTTTATCAAAATGTGACTTCTTTGAATTCAAATTTAATCAATTATATATCTTTCCCAATTGCAAAAAAAAAAAAAAAAGACTTTCTGGCATTAACTTGGGGCTAGAGG